GTGAAGAGGAGTAGGAGATTTGGGACTCCAGTTCAGGAATGAAGAAGTCACAGGGATGAAAGGTACAGCCTGGGGAATACAGTCCGTTTTGTATTGTATTGTAATAGCACTGTCTGGGGACCGATGATAGCTACACTTCTAGTGAGCATTGCATAAGGTATAGATTTTGTTGGATCACTGTGTTGTACTCCTGAAACATTAAAAAAAAGAAAGAAAGAAAGAAAGAGAAAAGAAAAAAAGAAACCTGTCTTGACTACTGCTTCCCCCAATTTTTTTGATCCTAAGATCGTTTTCTCTCAACACTCACGAAAGAAGAAAAAAAAAAAAAAAAAGTATTAAGAAGACAGCCATACAGCTTTCTGGCAGAAAGATCCAGCCAGGCAGCCAGAGAGAAGAGCCAGTGTAAAGGCTCCACTGATTCTGCCAAAATAACCCTGTGAAAGGAGAATACCCCATTTTGCAGATGAGTAAATAGTGTCTCAGTGTGATGGGATTAAGGCAATAGAGCTAGTCAGTAAAAAAAAAGCTAGGACTAGAAAGAAACTAGGTTTCTTGACTCTTGTTTCAACACCTTGCTGTTGTTTCCTGCCTCTATTTACCAAGCTAGAGGAAAGCTGTTCTGTTTCCTATAAAGCCCTGAGTAAGGTGTTACCACAGTTGTGGTGGTTGTTGCTATCATTATTAATCAGGTCCATTGATACTTCTTGAAAGATAGTTAAAGCTCAAAGAATAATTTCATTTTTCCTTCTCATGGTTTATTTTTCCCCTTCCTTTATCTGCGCTTCTTTCCTTGGGTGGGTCATTGCAATATCAAATTTTCAGTTAAAGGAATTCTATTTCTTTGGATATTTGATAAAGGTGTGAAACACAAGAATAAGGTATAAAATAGAAAGCATACGTAAATTAACATACGAAAGAGCTATGAGAGAACGGTGAGAATGCGGATCCCAAAGACAGGGAGGTTAGAGAGACCTCTCTTCAGAGGCAGGAAGGGAAGTGCAACACAGGGAGGAGGCAAGAAGGAGACCTTGGAAACATGTGAGGACCAGAGCGCCCTTAGCTTTAAGCTACTATAGGACAATGAGGACTCTGGCCTTGAAAAAATAATGAGCTTCAAGTACAAAGGTTAAAAACTAAGACGCCACAAAGGAGGAAATCTGTAAGAAAGACAATAATGGAGAGGGGGCTGGAGAAGAGAGAAAATATAAAGAGAGTCTCAAAATGTGAGAAGATATACAATGAACACTATAAAAGAAAAAGGCAAGTAAGAATCCGATTTCAGACACAGTAGACTTGAGAGCTGGTGGAATTACTAGCAGCCAAAGGGAACAGAGAGGACAGTCTGAAAGCTGAGTAGCTAGCTGACTTTTGGTAACACTAAGTTTAAGGCGGCAGTGAGGTTCTCACAAGGAGAGGGAATTGCCCAGCACACAGGAGGTAAATTTGGAAGATGTGTGTCATCTGGGCCTGTTTTGTCCCACAGGTGGTTACTCCTAAAATTGTGGCTCACCTGAACCGAATGTGCTGTCAGTATAAAACACATAACAAGATGTTGATTTCATATGGGGGAAAAATGTGTACTAATTTTTTTTTTTTTACAATGCTTACATGTTGGAATAATACTTGCATGAATTGGGTTAACTAAAATCTGTTATTGAAATTAATTTCACTTGTCTTTTTACTTCTTAATGCCACGATTAGAAAATGTTAAATTACGTATACAGTTTGCATATTCCTACTGGATGGTGTTGATACAGAGCAATACTAGATACATTTCAGGATCACATAAGGGGATGAGATCCATGAGTAAATCACAGACATTATTCTGAGATTTTTTTCAACTGAAAACAGCCAGATATGGGAGAAAGAACACACGTCATTATAAAAGATAATATTCACTGAATGCTCGAAGAACTATACTGGCCAGAGTTAGTGCATTATCTTCTTTGTTCCTTCCAACAGCTTTATGAAATGGTATCATTGTCTTCTTTTATAGAAAAAAAAAAAACAAAAAACAAAACTAAGTCCTAAACAAGTTAACCTGCCCAAGGTCACAAAGTTATATCTTGGTGTTGGGATTCAAATCCATGACTCACTCCAGATCTCAAGGTCTAAACTGCCACATCATCAATTCCAGAACAATTTATACTCTGCAACTCTTCAACTGTTAGATTTTAAATGGCTATATTTAAGCTAACAATTTATTAGAATGGTTCACGGTCAAGAGCCAGAGACATACCAGAGATGTCCTAATTCGATTACGATACAAATGTATAAATTTGTAACTTCAGAATTTTGCTGAGCTACTCATGTTGGCATATTTTTACCACGTTGAGCTTAAATAAGAGCTTACTGGTGTAACCTCTTGTCCCTTAACAACATCTACTCCTAAATATCCAAAACGGTCAGGTTAGACAGCAGACTGTCCAAGGGAGAGGATTCTGGGCACAACCCTCAATAATAGGACCCTGTTTTCTGTATATAACAAATTTACGATATGGAGCTACTTAAATTTTAAAAACCCTCTTTCAGACTATGAAAGTGCCTGAATCTCCCAAACTGTGATTAAAATGTTTTGAAGGGATCAATTATACGCCAATTTTTTTAAAAAAGTGTTTTTAAGGGAGCTGGATGAAATTGTAACTTTTTGTTGAAAGAACAAGAATTAAGCTTACCCAACTGGATAGCTTTGAAAGAGGATTTATATTCCTTAAAAAATATATTCCTTGAGGAATAGACAGGGGGGAAATGGCTTGATATTTTGACTGGAATAACATAAAATCTCCTACAAATATAAATTGGGACCAAAAGAATGAAGTGTTTTTCATTTATGTTTGGTGGTTGGATTTAATTTTAAAGACAAATGTATCATTCCTTCCTTTCCATCTTTCATCTTTACTACCTATCTGGCCATGACAGCAGTTATCACAGAACTGCTAAACATGAAGAGAAACAGCTAAATTACCTCATTTTCAGGAACTTGCCCATGTAAATTTTACTAGGCAGTTCGGCTCAGATTATAAAAACACATGTCCCCAGGCGTAAAACAAAGGATTGCTAAACATTTACACTATAGAAAGGGGAAAGCAAAAGGGAATTTGAAGGAAAAAATATAAGCTTTGGAATAAGACTAATTGGCAGACATCGAGAAAAACTACATTCACGTTGGACATGGATTCAAAGCAGTATCTCTCTGTACGGACCCAGTAGCTTATTTTGGAATTTAACCCTTAGAAACCTTCCCACTGCCAGCATCACTTTTTAAAGCAACAGGACTTTTATGTGGACATAGGCACAAAAATACCTCCTCGGAAAACCCAAAGTTTCTGAAAAATGCTTTTCTGAAAAGGCAGTATCACAACAGTACAGGGTAGGGTTAACAAGAGCAAGCCCTTTATTTTGGCTGAGATTAATTCCCATGACTCTTCCAATTACGGTGAAATCCTAGGACTTTTCTTACTCATTACAATTCATAATAATCTGTAATAAAGGTTCAGGCCCCCGAGGAGCCAGTTAGCTCTAAAACTGCTTTATCCATCCAAGTGCAAAGGTGTCAAGGACATGAAGTGATAGACCCAGGCATTAAGAGATGGCTAGCTCTATTCTTCTCATTGAGAGTCACCACACTGAGTCCCTCATTTCCAGGAGCATCCCTTTTCTCAAACTTCCCTTGAGCTTCTCATCCTTATGGACTGTCAACTGGATAGGTAATCCTTGTAGTTGCCCTGCTGCTTCCCATTTGTACATCAGCATTAGTAGGCTGGGTTTGGGGGTTAATTTTCTATCAAGCACATATTATATGCCAAGCACTGTTATAGGTACTAGAAATACTAGCAGTGAACAAAATGAAAAAAATCTCAGCGCTGATATTTACATTCTAGTGGGGAACACTTTCAGTAAACAAGATAAACAAAAGAACCTGTTAAATAATGCTATAAAGGAAAAAAAATGAAGCAAGAAGGGTGATAGGAACTGCGGTGGGTGGGGTAGGAAAGGCTGAAATTTTAGACAGGGTGGCCAGAGAAGGCGGAGAAGGCTTCACCTCACGTATAATCAGGTAGATGGTGTGAGCCTGAGAGGGTGGAGAGAGAGAGAGAGAGAGCAAAATCCGGGCCTGATCAGTGTCAGCTGGAGTGGGAAAAAGAAAGGAGATTAGCATGCTTTAACAAGCCCCATAGTGGAGAAGGAACCATATGGAAACCACATCACTTTGTCTTTTTGTAGTCACAGAACCAGGTTCTTCTGCCAAAACTCTCAGGCAGTTCATGGGATACCCACGGACACACAGAGCACCCCTCTCTCTCCAGGACAGAGCCCCGTGGGCAGCAAAAAGCGGTGTGAATTCAGAGTCGAGTACTGGCCCGGGAAACTGGGAGAGTCGTCGTCGCAAAGAACACACCAGACCGCCCACCGCCCCAATCTCCGTAAACAAATGGGAACCTCCCCGATTCCACGATGCAAAGCCAGGGAGGCCGGGGCAAGCACGCAGACACACCCCCGGGATTGCAGGCACGGCGCGGGGACGAGAGGAGGCATGGATTCAACCGTTAGAGACAAAACCCCCAGAATTTCCGGAGGCAGGGTCGGGACCACGCGAGGGAAACGCCGGCCCCCCGCCGGGGTCGGGCCGGGAGGAGAGCACGGTGCGGGAGGCGAGCGGGAATGGCCGCCGCGGGAACGGGGGGCGGTTTCGTCGGGCATCCCGGGCGCCCGGCCGGCTGCGCGCTTGCAACAGGAGGCTGGACGCGAGCGGCGCCTCGAGGTGCCGGGGCGGGACCGCGACCCCCAGACAAAGATCCCGAGCCCACGGCCCCGGCCCGCGCGCCCGCCCCCCGCCCAAACGTTCACCGCCCCCTCCCCAGGCCCACCGAGCGCCACGGGTTCCAGCAGTCGAACCCGCGGCTCCCGCGCTGCCGCCGTCCGCCCGGCCCCTTCCCGCCCAGTGCGTTGGTCGAGGAGAGAAAGGAGAAAGGCGGCGGCGGCGCGCGGCGCCCACTCACCATGATCCGCTGAGGCGCGGCGACCCGGCGGGCGAAGATGCGCTGTCCAGGGTAGCCCGCGTCCCTCTGCCCCGCGCTCCCGCCGCGCCGCTCTACTTACCCACGCCCACACCCACGCCCGGCGCGCGCACGCCCGCCCGCCTCCCCGCCCCCTCGGGCTCGCGCCGCTCCCGCGCGGCGCTCCGAGCTCCAGGGCCGTTTCGGGCGCCCGCCGCTCCCCACCCCCTCCGCTCGCCGGGGGCTCGCCGGCCGCGGCGCGAGGAGGGCGGCGAGGGAGGGGCGGGGTCGGCGAAGCGGGGGCACCCGGCGGCCTAGCGCGCCCCCTCCCGGACGCCCGGCTCCGTCCGAGGCGCCCCCTGCCGGCCGGGTGGCGATTTGCAGGCGCCGCCGATGCCCGTCGCGTGCCGGGGCCCAACGTTCGCAGAGCCTCGGCGCGGACCGCCCCGCCGGCAGCTGCCCGCTGCCCGCCCCCGTCGAGGCGGCGGTGGCTGCGGGAGCTGCGAGGACCCGCAGCTGTAGAGGCCAGGGCTCTGCTCCTCCCCTTAGCTGGGCTGCGCGATTTTCAAGCACACGTCAAAGGGAATGGCTTATGCTCCTGCGGGTTTGCGGGGTGTGGGTGTCTTAAATTCGGGGAGCATCGGGCTCTCTTTGGCTTCAAGTCGGGAGCGGATCAGTCTGAGCAGGCAACTGCTTGTTTCACAAGACGGTGCCTGCAGAGGTCTCATTCCAGGGACTTTTTAGTTAATACCACCAATGGTTAGTTGAACACTTAAGCGTGAACAGGAATTATGGGATCTTAGATGCTGGGCTTTTAATTTTTTGAAGTTTTTGTCACCCAGGTGGAAGATGTTAGGAAAGATAGACTTGTGCGTGCTGCATGACCTTTCCCGCTCTTTAGCGTTGGGAATGCTTGCTTTTTTATGTGGCCGATGTAGTACACTGAAATGCAAGCAAAGGTAAACGTGTTTGTTGAGAGTCAGTACACCACATCTGCATGTACACGGAGATCCCTTCCGCATACACTTAGCATTCCACACCTGAAGGACTACGGGTGTATTTGCAGTTTTGTGAAGTAGCAGAGCGACTAGCCGTCGGTGTCAGGGCTAACTGTTGTCGCATAATCTCCTAGTATTTAGAGTTCCCTGTCTTTGGAGTGTAAAACGTCAGTTACATATTTGCTTATAAGGAGTGCGTAGCTTTAGACCATGAACAGGTAGGAATTTGTTAACCAAGTGTCTTAAAATCTTACCATCAGGGGCACCTGGGTGGCTCAGTGGGTTGAAGCCTCTGCCTTCCGCTCCAGTGGTGGTCCCGGGGCCTGGCGTCAAGCCTCGCATCAGGGCTCTCTGCTCCGCAGGGAGCCTGATTCCCCCTCTCTCTCTGCCTGTCTCTCTGCCTGCTTGTGATCTCTCTCTGTCAAATAAATAAATAAAATCTTTAAAAGAAATAACTTACCATCGATGGGCTCAGGAGTCAGCCCTGCCACGTAGTGGCTCTGTGCTACTGGCTTAGTTACCTAATTCTCGGTGCTTCAAAGTTTCTTGGTCTATAAAATGGGGATAAAAATGATGCATTACACATGGCTATTAGGATTAAATTAATATAAATAAAGCACTAGAAAAATGCCTGCCGCAAAAGTACTAATTATTGATATTGTTTTTGATCTAATGCCTGTAGAAATCAGAAAGTGATATTCTACTTACTGTTGGCAGGCTGAAACCAAATAGACAATTTGTTGCCAGTTCCATTCATTCATTCACTTTGTTCATTCAACACAATCCCATTTATAACTGCACCAATAAGAATAAGATACCTAGGATAAACTTAATGAAGGAGGTGAAAGCCTGTACCCTGAAATAGTTAACATTTTATTTCATCTGTATATTAATGAATGGGCCTTCTAGAAAGAATAGAGTAAAAGAACCTAAATGAGGTTCAGATGCTTGAAGAGCTTTCTTGACCCAGACTTCAACCAATGCAACCTGGGCAACTTCTTCAACATCTGGGAAGCAGACCAAAGGGATCCTAAGATTAACCCAGAAGTTATAGAAGGCAGCCTCAATTTATAAGCTCATCATTCTTTTAGCTCAAATGTGGTATTTGTAGGTAACTACTGGGTATCTAATATAAACCTAACATAAACATAATATAACGTAAATGCTGTGTGGCTTACAACAGTACAGATGAGGAACCTCAGGCCCAAAGAAGGGAAATGGTATACCCAGGGTCACATGGTCAGACAGTTGGAAAATGGGGAAGCCAGAGCGCCATCTGAAACCTGTTGGATTCTTTCTATGACACCATGCTGTTTTGAATAATCCTATCTTTAAGAATCCTTATAAACTTGGCAGAGAAACTTGCTTTCTGTGGTTTGGAAGAGCAGATGAAATATAAACTTCACAGCAATTTGCATTTTTTTAATTATGGAAAATTCCAAACATCTAAAAAAGGTATACATATTAATGAACTCCAAAGTATCCATCACCTTTTTTAGAGATTATCTACCCATGACTAATCTTGTTTCATCTATACCACTACCTACTTTTCCCTGTTCTATTATTTTGGTCTTTTTTTTTTTTTCCATTCTGTTACTGTGAAGCAAATCCCAGATGTAATAATTTGTCATTGAATATGTCAGTATGTATCACTAAAGAAGAAATCTTTTAAAAAATACACATAAGTGTCCCTGGGGTGGCTCAGTCCATTAAGCATCTTACTTTCGATCTCAGCTCAGGTCTTGATCTCAGGGTCAAGAATTGGGCATGGAGCCTACTTAAACAAACAAATAAGAAAACACACAAAGTGACAAAACCATTGTAATTTCTTAAACATTAGCCATAACTTATTAACGGCATTAACTATGGACATCAAGTATATAAATCTACAAAATTTGTCTTTTTTTAACATAGCCATGGGTTGCTACATCTCTTGTGTCTCTTTTGTCTCCACTTTTCCCCTCCATCTCTTTTGATTTTCTTGCAACTTGTACTGTAGATTTCCTGCAGTCTGGATTTTGTGGACTACACCCCCAGGGAACAGTTTCTCATGTGCTTCTGACCTCTGTGCTTTTGTAAACTGATAACTGTAACTAGCTCTAGGGGCTTGATCAGACTCAGGTTAGAAACCTGGGGCAGGAATACTTCAGAGGTGATTGTGTGTTTCCATCAGGAGGCACCTGCCATCCAATTGTCACTCTTTCTGTGATGCTTAGGCATCAGGTGATGCTCAGAGCCTACATCCACTGATTCATTAGGGATTGCAAAATTATGACATTCTGGCTCTGTCATTCCTTCTTCGTTTACTCGCTAAAATACTTCCAAAAAATTGCCCATATGTGTTCTTTGGCTACCTATGGTGCCGTTCATACGAGAAAGACAAATTAGAACTTTAAAATGAAGAGCTGGTTCCTTATGGATGTAAAAACTCAGTTCAAAATTTAAACATGAAGATAAGTTAAAAAATAAATTGCATTTGGAAATACCCAGGCTAGCTGCCAGTGTCAACAAAGACACCTTAACTGTTGTTGCCCAACTTGCTTATCTAAAATATGCTGAGTTCTATCTTAACTAGAGTGACTTTCACAGATTTCTTTATTTATCCAAGCTCTGAAAAGGAAAAAAATTAACAGAAGGCTTTAATGTGATTGATCCTTTCCAAGGGAAGAGGTCAGAACTCAGGAGAATGAGTTATGAAGAATATTTGTGGAATCGTATTTGGTTCTATCATTAAACTAGTTAGATAGAAAAGTACATATGACAATAACCTTTTTTTAGAGGGGGGAGGGTTACAGGGAGAGAGAGAATCTGAAGCAGGCTCCATACCCAGCGTGGAGACTGATGTGGGGCTCAGTCTCACAAGCTTGAAATCATGACCTGAGCCAAAATGAAAAATCTGATGCTCAACAACCAAACCACCTAGGCTTCCCTTAACAATAGTCTTGAGTGTACTTGGTCAGCATTGTAACTACTTCTGTTAAAGGTAATTTATAATTACCTTAGTTCTACAAATACTTGAGCTTAGATCAGAATTTGCCTGAAAAATGTTCATTTCAACTGTCTTTTTAGCTTCGGTCACACAGTAAGCATTCAAGTAATATTTAATACAGACCTATCTCTCCCCCCCTTTTTTTTAAAAAGGTTTTATTTGTTTGACAGACAGATATCACAAGTAGGCAGAGAGGCAGGCAAAGAGAGAGGAAGGGAAGCAGGCTCCCCACTGAGCAGAGAGCCCGATGTGGGCCTTGATCCCAGGACCCTGACATCATGACCTGAGCCGAAGGCAGAGGCTTCAACCCACTGAGCCACCCAGGCACCCTCCCCCCTTTTTTTTTTACTGCAAGCCACCTATGGTTTCTGTGACATTCTAATGAGAATCTCATTGGATCCAAAGGCCTTTGAAAAATATATTATTATTACTGGCTAATGGAATTGCAGCTCCTTAGCAATGATATCACTGATATTAGCAATATCCTGAAAAAAATGTGGTCTTTACTTTGTCATGGCCTGCACCATGACAACACCACAGTGTTTACAAAAAAAAAAAAAAAAATGGAAGGGGCACCTGGGTGGCTCAGTCAGTTAAGTGTCTACCTTCAGCTCAGGTTATGATCCCAGAGTCCTGGGATGGAGCTCCATGTTGGGGCTCACTGCTTAGTGGGGAGTCTGCTTGTCCCTCTGTCCTTCCCCTTGCTCATGCTCTCTTTCTCTCTCTCTCTCAAATAAATAAAATCTTTGGGGTGCCTGGGTGGCTCGGTGGGTTAAACCTCTGCCTTCTGCACAGGTCATGATGTCAGGGTCCTGGGATCGAGCCCCTCATCAGGCTCTCTGCTCAGCGGGGAGCCAGTTCCCCCCCTTCCTCTTTCTGCATGTCTCTCTGCCTACTTATGATCTCTCTCAATTAAATAAATAAAACCTTTAAAAATAAATAAATAAAATCTTTTAAAAAAATGGGAGATGTAGTTCTAGCTATCACATACTAAGAATGACAGCTGCCATTAAGAGTTGGAGTTTCATAGGTTGTAGCATTATTTCCGCGTATCTGATGGGAAGCCCGAACATTATACAAGTGGTGAAGAAACCCTACCTGAACTCGT